TGCTAAATCCACCGCGGGGCATAAACAGAAGGGTAGCCATGGCAACATTGCTGCGGGGCTGCTCCGGGGTCTTCTTCGCTGCTTTTGGTGTATTTTGTGGCGGAAGTTACAGCGCCACTTACAGTCCCGGCATATGTACTACAGCGTGTCCAGCGGTCTCGTTTGAACAGACACGTTAAATGAAACGAATGCATGTGAACGGAAGACTTTTTTGAAAACGCATACTGTGCATAAACGCAAAAGTTCCCGTGTAAAAGCAGCCACAGTCATAAAGCAATCAGTAAGATTACATTAAATCACTACAGGTTGACAAGAGTGGAAGTTTAACAGTTTTTAAAGTCATGTGCTCTGGCTATAGGCTAATGCTATGCTTTGCTAGGGCCAGTTAACAGACAGAGAGCCAGGCCTGGTTGAAGTCCCAACATATGACCAATACTTTGATTTGAAATACCTGAAAAATAAACAACATTACCATCCACCACAACCTTACATGGTGCCCACCGTTTCCTCTTGAATATATCACAACTATTGAGTTTCATAATAAAAAGGCTCTGTGATTTCCTGAAATGGCTGGTCATTGTACGTTTAAGCAAATATTACTTAAACAGAAGGATAATCTGGGTGACTTTTTAGTGACAATAATGCATAATTGGAATTGTCACGAAACAATGTGGCTCATTTATGTGTTGTTGTCTTAAATGCATAAAGAGAAATGTACACATCATATTGTTCATTTCTATACTATAAAAGTTGCCCAGTGGTACATGAAGCCAAAATGGCCTGACTCTGACGATCTGAGTCTGAAAAATGGAGGGGAAAATAACTCTTGGTAGGATTTTTGCTAATTTACAACTTTAGGATCTAATTATTGAAATAAGGGCCATTCATAAGTTTGTCCTAGGAAGTTTATTTTACGAAGTCTTCCTTCACAGATGTCTCTTTTCCAATGTAAGTCCAAGGGAAAAAGTATTTTAGAGCCCAATGTTGTCACAGACTGACATGGACGTTGTAGTACCACCGTTTGGTGACTAAGAAAATGTGCTTAAACGGCTGACTCACTCCCTGGGGTGCTCGATTTTTAGATGTAGATCCTAGTGTAGAATATTAAAAAAAAAACTCCATGCATGAACACACTGATTAAAAATTGCCTCAGAATCCACTCTTTTACATCTGCTCTCTAGCTATCTGTGTCACTCTCTATAGCTATCTGTGTCACTCTCTATAGCTATCTGGGTCACTCTCTATAGCTATCTGTGTCACTCTCTATAGCTATCTGTGTCACTCTCTATAGCTATCTGGGTCACTCTCTATAGCTATCTGGGTCACTCTCTATAGCTATCTGTGTCACTCTCTATAGCTATCTGTGTCACTCTCTATAGCTATCTGTGTCACTCTCTATAGCTATCTGTGTCACTCTCTATAGCTATCTGGGTCACTCTCTATAGCTATCTGTGTCACTCTCTATAGCTATCTGTGTCACTCTCTATAGCTATCTGTGTCACTCTCTATAGCTATCTGTGTCACTCTCTATAGCTATCTGTGTCACTCTCTATAGCTATATGTGTCACTCTCTATAGCTATCTGTGTCACTCTATTACCTTATAGAGGGAAATGGGCTCTTTCCATTTTTTCCTTCATTCACTTGCAGACACGCACGCACGCACACACACACGCACACACACACACACACACACACTCTCCCTCAGTCGGACAGCCATGACAACTCAGGCAGATTATATTAATGAACAGAGGTGCTGGAGTTCAATGATGTGGAATAGAGAAATCTACGCTGTGACTGTATAAGGAAGATTTACAGAGCCAGAGCCGGTGAGAGGCAGAGAGAGGGGGGGTATGGGAGATGGAGAAGCAGTAAGGGAAACAGGAAGTTGTAGTTCTTCTAACCCTAACCCCTAACCCTGTGTTTCAACAGGTAACTACTGAATTTCCTGTATTTTGCTAAATCCGACTACAGTAGTAAACACATTTCCATACATGTTTTTACATTACAATATTACATTACATTTCATTAAGATGCTTTTATTCAAACTGACTTATGGCGCATTTCCACTACAGCGCGGTTTAAGCATGCCGTGCCCGGCCCGTTTTTGGTTGCGTTTCCACTAGGCGTAGTTCCGGCTAGCGGGTACTGTTTCACAGTTTTTCTGGCTCTCCAAAATCGAGGTTCTTTCCGGGCCAACAACCGGGCTGAGTATGCTAAACTAGTGAGAGAATCGCTGGCAACTACAACAAGATGAACATATTTGACCGTGATTTAATTGTAATACACGTTTCAAAATGATGCCGAAGTAACAACATACTGATACCGGTTAGTAAAAACCATGAATGAATGCTTTGTCAAGTCTGCAGACAGACGAAAAACCTTTTAAAATGCGTGTTTTCTGAATGGAGATCGGCTAAGCTCTCGGCTAACAGTGTATATGCTCCGACCGTCCACACTCACAACAACGGCCTACAGACATAAATAAAGCAGCGACTGTATTCACCATGACACAGGCAGTCTGTGGTTTGTACTTGTTTCACTTTTGTCTAGTTTCTGAACAGATATAAGGAGCTGTGAGCTTGAGTGCTAACAGCTAACGGCTGATGTTGGTTTTGTGTTTCGCATTGAAGATGATGTCACGGCTCCGCCTACACTACGTTACTATAGTTACTACCCCAGTTCCTAAACTGTAATGGAAACGCAGCATAAAGTGAGCCTGGCCTACCAAGGCCTAACGGGCCGTCTCCACGGCAGCGTTAAAAAAATCTTGGAGGTGGGCGTATCTGAAGCTTGGGGATTTTTTTGCGATCAACCAATCACATGAATCTCCCGCCCGCGACATACGAAGCCAAAAAGCCCGAAGTAAACTGGATATAAACTCCCCAAAACAGGCGAAAACATACCACTGTCTCTGCCACCATCCCTCCATGCCTGGCTCCTCCGGTTTATATCCCGGTAGGTCTGGTCATAAAGCACCGGGTGATTGATTCGCTACCGCTAATTTCTCCTCCATTTTTTGGAATATGAGGAAATGATCTGCGGTATGTCTCTCCCAGCATACACGCCGTTTGATTGGCTAGAGCTTGAACTGTCAGATTTGCGTACACGGGATTTGATTGGCTGACGCTTCCTCCTCAGCTTCAAAAGTTGAACATTGTTCAACTTTGGATCTTGAAAATCCTGAGAATCTCCGCTCGCCTGCCCACAATGCATTTCGGCGAAAGCGAAAAAAAGTGCTACTGGATGTGCCTCAAATAATCCAAACCTTTCAAAGTGCTACATAGAGAAACCATTTTTATTATCTTTTTTCTATAGGCCAAGGCCAGGGTAAAGTTGACACAGGTGGGTTTTCAGTCTGCTACAGAAGAATATACGGTCCTATTTCATGTTTCTAAGTGAATGATCAGTTTGTATTTGAACACTCAAAATAAGTGGTTATCAAGTGTTCAATCCCCCAACCACAATGTCTGTTTAAACCATGAAAAAACACCTGGAGGCCCTTGTGGTCAAGCTTGTGGTTACTGTGAATTACTGCAAACAGACATTTCTACACTTCAGTGACAGTCAGTCACTATAGGTCCCTGAGACGTGTCCCTGATACTGAAACAGTTCTGTATTTCACTACGGCCAGATCCCCTGCTCCCGACCTGTATTGACAGGTCTGGGACTAGTTTGCTTCCACCTACAACCAGATGTGGTCCACCCTACGTGCTCATTTTAATTTGAGTACTTTACACATGTCTAAATGTTACTTTTTTTACAAAGTCAAGACATATCACATATTCAGGGTAATCAAAAGGTGCGTTCAAACTGGACGGGAGGCTAAAAAATGATTGTGCTAGTGAATAAATAAATAAATAAAAGTTTTCCGCACTCTCTCCGCAATGGAGCGAGCTTAAGTTTCATTTCCGATTGCATGATATAGCCCAGCGCAACACCTTTGTCACACATGTTGCCACTTGTTTGTACCATTTTCTGGCGATTTGTAATCTGTTCTAGAAAAACGATGTGTTTTTTAGGATTTCAAGAAGCATATAGAACAAACAATGGATGTATTTTATGAACATTTATCCATGCTGAAAGTAGATTTAGATCTTAGGAGTGAGATAGAGATTATTATCTAATATATGCATCCAATGAAGCATTGCATGAAGTCTGTTGATGATCAGAGGCTGTTGTTGGGGCTGCATAAACGTTTTTTTATTTTTGTTTTTTAGGCAGACCATGCAGGCCAGACCGATGGTCACCAAGGTTCATGTTTTAAAGCATTTTTACAAAAAAAGCCCAGGCGAGCCTAACAAGAGAGTTAAACTTGGGCCTGCGACCATAGTTTTACTGTATTTTGTTTTGAAAATCCACAGCGGAGGTTTGTGTCGTACTACATGCGGTGTATTTTGCATTTCTCAGTAGCCAACCATCTGTGAGTGTTGGCTCGGACATAAACTCCGTAATAAATGTAGTCTACATTTCATAAGAGGTGTAAAACCTGTGAGCATTTTAAATCGCATTTGAACTAAATGCTTATATAATCTGTAGTTTTATTTGTATTGTTAATTTATTGTGTGAACGAGGCGAAGTAGAGAAGGTTAAGCTGTCATTATTAGGCTGTTATGTACTGTTGGAGTGGTAAGCAGTTTTTGGATATTTGTGGAGTTAGGTGGTCCGTGAGTGTTTTTTTATTGGTTAAGTGGTCCTTGGTATGCAAAGGTTTGAGAAACACTGCGCTTGTGGATTATCAACGGGGTAGCCTCGCTGCGGGGAAATTATACAGATGGCCAGTCCGCCCCTGAAAAATGTCTATGCACACGTTATTATTAATAATAATTAAAAAACAATTGATTAAAATAATTGATAATTATTTTATTTTCATTTTTTTTTAATCATCTCGTGACCCCCACTCAGGGTCTCATGACCCCCACTTTGGGAAGCCCTGGTCTATGGTCCAAATACAGCTAAAAGTGTCCTGTTGAGAAAGGTTTTGATCTGTTTCTCCCCTCAGGCAACTGTTGGTCTGATCCGGAACCTGGCCCTGTGCCCGGCCAATCAGGCGTCTCTGAGGGAGGCAGGTGCTATTCCACGATTGGTCAACCTGCTGCTGAAGGCTCACCAGGACACACAGAGACACGCCTCCTCCGCCCAGCAGACATACCAGGTACTAATGGGTACACACAGACCCTAAACACATCTTCATGCTGGAATGAATCGTTCTTGTCACTGTCTTAAGTAAAGTTCACATTTCATAAAAGTCATCAAAGGATTTTACACAAAAAAATGATGTTCGCCATGCTTGTGTTTTTGAGGTGACAGGGGGTCAGGTCACAAACTACAAGATGATTCACCAGAATCCTCAATGATTATGTCTGCTCTTCAAAGTATTTTTTACTGCATAAACCATCCATTTTGTCTTCATCCACCACTCTGCCACTCTCATAGGAATGAACTGAGCTCCGCCTCCAACGCTGTATCACTATCCAGTGTTCTTTATAAATCCATGGTAGAGTCACTTCTCCCATGTGTTTAAGATAAAGTACGATCTTATCTTATCTTATCTTAAACACATGGGAGAAGTGACTCTACCATGGATTTATAAAGAACACTGGATAGTGATACAGCGTTGGAGGCGGAGCTCAGTTCATTCCTATGAGAGTGGCAGAGTGGTGGATGAAGACAAAATGGAGCGACTACAGATTCAGAAAATACCCGGATCATCCAGGGCATTTAGCTTTTAGAGCTTGGCAGTTGAGTTTTCATCAAGCCCGCCTCCGATCTCCAGCTTTTGGCTCATTCAAATGAATTGAGAGAAATAATAACTCTGGATTCAGCTTTTAGGGCATTTTAAAACCTTAAGACCCCGATGATTTAAATAAGGGCTGGAAGTGATCATGCTGGGTAGTTTATATAGCTCAAAGGGAAAAGTATTTTTGGGCCCAAAGGACATCATGGAAGCTGTAGTACCGCCGTTTGGCCACCAGGGCCATTCCAAAAGATCAATTTCAATGGACAGCGCACTTACTGGGTGCTTGGACTTAACTCTGTTTCATTCTCACTCTGTGCATAGTGCTGCTTGTTTGTCGCTGGCACACATGTTCAAACATATAACAGGCACAGTTACAGACGACCCCTCCCCCAGGTTTTTGCTCCATTTTGTGGGGCAAGTTTTCTTGAATTTGATATTTTATGACATTTCTTTGTCTTTTTCTCCGTCTCTCAGGATGGAGTTCGTATGGAGGAAATAGTGGAGGGCTGTGCAGGAGCACTTCACATTCTGGCCAGAGACCCAATAAACAGAGGAGAGATTGCAAACATGCAGACCATACCCCTGTTTGTACAGGTACGCTCACATGCATGCTGTGACATGAAGAAATTGGAAATTGGAAATTGGATACTTAAAGGATGGAGGAGGGGAAATGTTGCTCTCATTGGTGGAAAACATACTTCTTGCTTGAATAGATTTTGCCCATTGCAGGTCTGAAAATGTTGATTGATAAAAGTTCCTCTTACATTAGTTTTTACCAAGGCCGTAGGTTTGGTTCTAACTGTGGTATGTAAACATTTGCAAAAATTAAAACACTATGCACAGTTGGTAAAGAAGATGATAAATGTTTGAGCAATAATAATAATTTTGCCAACATTTTACGAACTTCATTTGAATAGAATTACCGGACTGTTGTTGTCTGTATCCAGCAAGGAATTATGCAAGGTCAACACAGCTTAAAATGACAACTATAATTCTGAAAATGAAGAGAAGGCCTATTGGGACAAAATATTTGTGACAGAAACAAAATGCTTTGAATGTGTGTGTGTGTGTGTGTGTGTGTGTGTGTGTGTGTGTGTGTGTGTGTGTGTGTGTGTGTGTGTGTGTGTGTGTGTGTGTGTGTGTGTGTGTGTGTGTGTGTGTGTGTGTGTGTGTGTGTGTGTGTGTGTGTGTGTGTGTGTGTGTGTGTGTGTGTGTGTGTCCAGCTGCTGTACTCGTATGTGGAGAACGTGAAGCGGGTGTCAGCGGGCGTCCTGTGTGAGCTGGCTCTGGACAAACAGTCTGCAGAGCTGATCGACTCAGAGGGAGCGTCAGCCCCGCTCATGGAGCTGCTGCACTCCAACAACGAGGGAATCGGTACGCATTTTACCTGCCTCAACCAACAACTAGCTATTGCCCGATGCATGCGGTTATTGCTGTCTATGGAAACATCTGTTTACTACCTACCACCTACTTACTGTGATCTGATATAACTTTAACTGATGGGATTAGTCTTTTACATTTGAGTTGTTGCAGTAGAACCAGCTCAGTTTGTCTCCCATAGAAGCCTCGAAAAACTAAAAACTCCTGGAAAAGTGTTCTTCAGGCAGAGCAGAAACTGCCACAGATCTGTGTGAAGTAACAAGCTGTAACCTTCCTTAAAGTGGACCTATCATGCTATATTATAATAATATAGTGTAGGACCATACCTATATAAGGCATATTTATACTTTTCTTTTTTCAAAATACCAAAGAGATCATGCATTTTAGCCATGCCTCATTTCGCTCAATTTGCACTTTTTTACCCCTGTTTTTGCAAGGGCTGATTCTGTGAGCAATAGCACCATCTACAGGCCTGGCATATGTACTACAGCGTCTCCAGCGCTTTCGAACGGCAATGGCCGTGGCTGTCTCCTCCTGATTGGTGGAGGTGGCCCAATAGCCGTAGCGCCACCGTCCTGACGTCAGGACAGTGTTCAAATCTGGATCAGTTTTTATCAGATCCGTTGCAGCCCCTTTTTTAGAGATTTGGGTATGGAGGAAAATAGAGAGGGTTGTGTTTTCTGACACTTGGTGAGTTCCCTGGAACACCGGGGACACATATTCATGTATAAAAGACGTACAAAAGTGCATTTTGCATGATAGGTCCCCTTTAAGTTATAACATGAAACATATACATATGTCAAGTTTTGTGTTATTTTTTCTACAGGCCTTTCAATCGTGATAGCTTAGACCGTAGATCTTTCAGTTGTTTTGTATCCTTTTTTCTGCAGTAGTTTAATGACACCAAACAGAATAATTAGCATGAACTGCTGTTTGCCTTCATTTGCCAACTCCTGATATTCATATAACAGAAGTGGATGGATATGCAAGTTACAATTAACTGGAAATTTGGCTCAATTTGTGTTTGACTTTGTTTAATTTAAACGTATATGTGATACACTTTGTTATAAAGTCTTTGTCATTTATTGTCCAATTGACAACTGACGTGACCTATTACCCTGCTGCAGCATTCCATTTTACTGTCCTACCTATCAGCACTTTGTTAAGACTTCTTCACTCCCTTGGTAAATGCACTATTCTTCCAGTAAGGTTTGCTTAAAAACTCTAGTACCATCTGTTTTAAAAACATTGTCCTTTTGTTTGATTTTGTGAAACTTTATATTTGGGAATTTTATCGGATCAGACCTAAATCTGAAAACTGTAGGATATTATCACTATCATTTAAAGTTAATGATTGTACTTACTTACAACTTAGTTCTAGCACTTGATTAAAAAGGGGACATCATACTTTACCCCCACCTTTGTGCCAAACATTGGTGAGTTATTTTGCCTGACCTATGGGCTGTGCAAATAGCTAGCAATTCATGTTTTGGATGGGAAGTGTGTGCTTCAAAATGCTTTGGGGTGTCAGAGAGAATAAATGAGTGTTTGCCTTCTCTCATATAATCTGTTCCTAAATGACTCCTTCTCCCTGCAGCCACGTACGCTGCAGCGGTGCTCTTCCGTATATCGGAGGACAAGAGTTCAGACTACAGGAAGAGAGTATCAGTGGAGCTCACACACTCGCTCTTCAAACATGACCCTGCAGCCTGGGAAATGGTAAGGATGGTGTGTGTGTGGCGTGTTGTCATGACAGAAATATTTAACTCTGGTGAGGTATGTACTGTATACGTGTATAAGATCTCAGAATGCTATGAATAGAAAAATTACTTTCTATTCCTGTTTTACTGTACCCTTGCACTTCCTTCTATCCTAACATTAACTTGGTAGGTTGGAGAATTGGTCAGTGTGTCAGGTTTTCTCCTTGGAACTATCTAAAAGTATTATCCCTCATCTCAAACCCTCCCATCCCAAAACAGCCATTCCATATGAAGTACCCCAAGGTTCTGTCCTGGGTCCACCACAGTTCAGACCCATGGTGCTTAGGGTATCCATAATGACAGTATTGATTTGTATTACAAAGTAGATGATGCCTAACTTTAGAGCCTATAAGTATTTACTTTAAAATGCCCCTATTTCTTCAATGAAATGATCCTTGTCATCTTTTGTATACCTGATAGGTGTGCATCCCTGAAACTACTAAACAGACTCAAGTTAAAGAAAAGTTACTGTAGACATTTCTAATTACCACACACTCACTCACACATACAACCACACACACTCTTCTCCATACCACCTCACCCATCAGTTGCCTTCTATAAGTATTCCTTCAGACTATACAAACATGTGTTTATGAGAGATATGATTACTAATACCTAGCTTAGCCCAACAGGCCTCCATCTGTGTCCTCTCGAATAAATTAAATCTATAAAAAATGAATGGGATGATGTTAGATACCAAACTAACATAAACACAGTAATTCAAAAAATGGAATAAATCTAATTTCATCGAGATTATTTAAAAATCTGAATAAAGAATATGCTATCAAAGCAGTGACCGAGTAATATTACTAGCACAGCTGACTGCTGGTCCACAAAGATCTTATAAATGACACATGTATAAATCATCACACATTTTTTCATCCACTTATGTTTTCTTATGTGAGCAATTACCCAGTTGTTCAGTTAAACAATATTTGCTCTGTCAGAGTTTGGTCAATGGCATTGATTGATAAGGTTTGCCTGTGTGTGTGTGTGTGTGTGTGTGTGTGTGTGTGTGTGTGTGTGTGTGTGTGTGTGTGTGTGTGTGTGTGTGTGTGTGTGTGTGTGTGTGTCCACATTCACCGTTTCCCCAGTGTTAAATACTTTATTGACCTGTCTAAAGCAGAAACTGAGTTGTTATAGCCGTGTATAGCAATATTGATTCTTTTTTTCATATGCCTCTGTGTGTCTCTCTCCAGGCCCATACTGTCGTTCCTCTGGAGCCTACATATCTGTCTGATGGTAAGAACTTAGATTTAAAAAAAACAACAACACATATTTAACATGTTGTGGGGTTTTAGCATCTTAAACACCTGCAGGATGAATGATCGTGGTATTTCCTTTTGTTTTGTGTATGCATCTGGACAGATTTTGTGACCATGATAGCAATGCAACATTGCAAGATTCTGTCAATTAATTGCAAAATAGAGTGCTGCAACTGTGAACATTTTTAACCAAAAACTTGAGGCAGAGTCAAGATGTGATGAAATGCTAACTCATTTCCAGGCTAAGGACTCGTGCACCACTCTGTGAGGGCTGAGTTCATAGATGGGCGTGGTCTGAGCAATGGGTGTTTGTTTAAGTGTTGATAGAGATATTAATTATGAAATCTAGATTTTTGCTTGCAATGTAAGGCAAGGCAAGGCAAGTTTATTTATATAGCACCTTTCAGCACGCGACAATTCAAAGTGCTTTACAAAATAAAATAAAAGACATTTAAGAATAAATACAGCAGAAACACATTATATAATGGCATTTTACAACAGGCATTTCAAAAGCAAAGATAATAAATTAAACACAACAGTTATACAATACATGAATAAAAGGCATACTGCAGTACGAATATGAACTGCTCAATGAAAAGCAGCGGCAAAAATATATGTTTTCAGTCTCGATTTGAAAATAGTCAGTGTTTCAGCGGACGTGCATGATTCGGGCAGTTTGTTCCAGATTGTCGGGGCATAATAGCTAAACGCTGCTTCTCCATGTTTTGTTCTTACTCTCGGAACCGAGAGCAGACCCGTCCCAGAAGACCTGAGACACCTTGATGGTTAATAATTATGCAGGAGATCGTTAATATACTTTGGTCCTAAACCATTTTGTGATTTAAAAACTAGCAATAATACTTTAAAATAAATTCTTTGGCCGACTGGAAGCCAATGTAAAGATTTCAGAACCGGACTGATGTGATCCACTCTTTTGGGGCATTTCCAACATGGCGCGGTTTAAGCGTGCCGTGTCGTGCCGGGCCCGTTTTTGGTTGCGCTTCCACTAGGCCTAGTTCCGGCCCGGAGGTACTTTTTCACCTCTTTTCTGGCCCGACAAAATCGTGGTTCTATCGGGGCCAACAAACAGGGCTGAGTCGGGCTGAGTCGGGCTGAGTATGCTAAACTAGAGAGAGAATCGCTGGCAAGGAGGCTACAACTACAACAAGATGAACATATTTGACCGTGATTTAATTGTAATACACGTTTCAAAAGGATGCCGAAGTAACAACATACTGATACCGGTTAGTAAAAACCATGAATTAATGCTTTGGCAAGTTTGCAGACAGACGGCAGGTGAAAAACCTTTTAAAATGCGTGTTTTCTAGATGGAGATTGGCTAAGCTAACTCAATATATGCTCCGACCGTCCACACTCACAACAACGGCCTATACAGACATAAATAAAGCAGCGACTGTACTCGCCATGACACAGGCAGTCTGTGGTGTGTACTTGTTTAACTTTTGTCTAGTTTCTGAACATATATAAGGAGCTGTGAGCTCTGAGTGCTAACAGCTAACGGCTGTGTTGTTTTTCTGGGGTTCTCATTGAAGATGACGTCACGGCTCCGCCTACACAGCGTTACTATAGTAACTACCCCAGTTCCTAAACTGTAATGGAAGCGCAGCGACCCTAACAAGGCCCAACGCGGCCTAGCAGTACCGAGCGAGGCCGAGGCCGACCGTGTGGTGGAAATGCGCCATTTTAGTGTTAGTGAGGACTCGAGCAGCAGCGTTCTGAATCAGCTGCAGCTTTCTGATGAATTTTTTTGTCAGCCCTGTGAATACACTATTGCAGTAGTCGAGTCTACTGAAGATAAAAGCATGGACAAGCTTTTCTAAATCCTGTTGTGACATTAGTTTTTTAATCCTAGATATGTTCTTCAGGTGATAGTATGCAGACCTAATGACTGTTGTAATGTGGCTGTTAAAATTCAGGTCTGAGTCCATCACTACCAGTGTTGGGACTAACGCGTTACAAACTAACGCGTTACTGTAACGCAACTACCTTTTGCGGTAACTAATAACGTTACTAGTTACCTATTCCCATTCAGTAACGCCGTTATAGTTACTGTGATTTAAATGGGTGCGTTACTGCGTTACATTATGTGGTCCAACTGAACCGAATCTCCGTGCGGATGTAACTTACAGGCGAATACAGTGATGTCCTCTCACAGTACCATGGAAAAGTGAAAGTGACCAGAGAGGAATGATGATTGGTTAACGCGGGGTAACATTTCAGGGTAAGCCAATCAGAGACAGAGTTGGGCGGGTCTTGTCTTATGGGGAAAATACACAGACACACAAACACTTGCTAACACACACACATACACGGAAACGCCCACCACCACCAGCACACAGACACACAATGGCAGATGCAAGTATCAGCGAGAGCAGCAGCGCATTTACAACTTGGAGATATAACCACTATTTTCAATTTGTGGGGATAAAGGACGCAAAAAATATTACGGTCAAATGTAAACTGTGTGCAGGACAGAAAGCATTGTCCACATCGAATAACAGCAATGCCAATCTCCTGAAGCACCTAACTAATGTACATGGGGCTATAAAACTAGTCGCCAAAGACCCCACCGTCTCAACCACCGGCAGTGACCCAGATGGAGCAACACAAACAGCCACATGTCACCCAGAGTCAACTAAACAGATTGATTGCCAGGTATGTTGTTGAGGACATGCTGCCCATCGCAACGGTCGAGTCTGTTGCATTCAGAGAACTAGTCAGCAAAATACCAGTGAAAGCAGTGAAAGCAGGGCCACAGTGCAGAAAGACCTTTTCCAACAACACAAAAACTTGTATTTTTATTGTTATTATTTTTAAAGTAAAGTAAAGTAACTTGTTACTAGTTACTTTTATAATTTAGTAACTAATAAAGTAACTAGTTACTTTTTTGAGAGCAGTAACTTTAACTATTACTAGTTACTTTTTAAAAGTAACTTGCCCAACACTGATCACTACACCTAGATTTCTAGCTTTATTAGTTGTTTTGTAGTCTGCCGACTGAAGCTCTGCAATTACTTTCAATCGGTCCTTCTTTGCTCCAAAAACAATTATCTCAGTTTTTTGTTTGTTCAATTGGAGAAAGTTCTGAATCATCCAGTCATTGATATACTCAATGCACTTGCTCAGTGTTCTAATCGGAGAATAGTCTCCTGGTGTAATTTTTAAATAAATCTGGGTGTCGTCTGCATAGATGTGATAGCTTAGATCGTTGTTTTTCATAATTTGAGCCAGTGATAGCACATAGATATTAAAAAGCAAAGGTCCTAAGATGGAGCCTTGAGGAACCCCGCATGACATATTTGTCAGGGCTGATGTGTAGTTGCCGATAGAGACAACGTTTTTTCTGTCCTTTAAGTATGAACTAAACCAATTTAGAACTGTTTCTGAAACTCCCACCCAGTTTTCTAGACGGTCTAGCAATATGTTGTGGTCAACAGTATCAAACGCAGCACTGAGATAATACTAACACTGATATTCTGCCACTGTCTGTGTTTAAATGGATGTAATTTAAGACCTTAACAAGAGCAGTCTCAGTGCTGTGGTTTGGTCGAAAGCCTGACTGGAACACATCAAAACCGTCATTTAAAAACATGAAATGACTCAACTGTTGAAAAACAACTTTTTCAATCAATTTACTTAAAAAAGGAAGGTTTGATATTGGCCTGTAATTATTCATCACGGTTGCGTCTAGGTTATGCTTTTTTAGGAGCGGTTTAATTACTGCAGTTTTCAGGGCCTGTGGAAATACACCCGAGTGGAGAGACTTGTTTACTATGTGAAGTAGATCTGAGGCCAAGCGATGAAAAACGTTTTTTTTAAATCCTGTTGGAATAATATCGGGGCTACAGGAGGAGGATTTCAGATGTTGAATAATGTCTTCCAGGTCTTTAGCATTTATCAGACGGAATTGTGTCATGATGTCTGAATTGACTTTAGGTGGACACAGGGACAACACATTTGCTGTACCTTTTACCGAGGAACTGACTGATTGTCTAATTTTCATGATTTTGTCAGTGAAGAAGGAGGCAAATTCATTGCAGGCCCTGGTGGATAGAAATTGTGAGGCTGTAATACAGTAATAATCCTGAGGGTTATTCGTTTTGCACAGTGTAATGATTGCACAGCTTATGTATGGTCTGTACTGGACAAGACAAGGCAAAAATCGAGAATCATAAATACAATTGAAATGTATAAATCATTTAAATATTAAAATATTTCTTAAACTCTCAGTTCTAGTCGTTAGAAAAGATGAGGTTGTATAATGCAAAATATGCATGCAACACTGTGAGTTAATGTCACACATTGGGTCAGCCCCTGACATATTACTCCCTCTCATCTCTGAAAACTTCACAAAAGATGGAGAGAGCCTTCTACAGACCACAATGCTCATTAAACTAAAGTCCCAGGGGGAAGAGAGTTGTCAACACAGCAGCAGACAGTCAAGGCACAACAAACACAAGCAAACATTTAAATATCAGCTGGACGCCAACGTGCACACACACACACACACACACACACACACCGCAGCAGCTTCATGGCCCAAGTCTATTCTCTCAAGCAGGGAGAGTAACTGCATGATTATAGCCTTACCAAGAAGAACAGATCTATCTATCTATCTATCTAGTGAACGTTAGCTATCGACTGAACAAGCTAGCCAACATTTGCTATCTATCTAATTAGTTAGCTAGCCTAGATTAGCAACCAATATATAAGCTAGCTAACAGAGCTTTCGCCAAATTGGTGGCTCTCATAGTTTAGATTACAATTACTATTTAAAACCCTATGGTTAAACTTGCAGTGGGCCCTGTGTCTACAGTTGTGGCAGTGAGGGTAGTTATAAAAACATTGTCGACATGCTGTATGACTATCATACAGCCAGCAGCACCTCACATCAACGTAAATTCCGAAATATGCATTGTTTGGATAAAGTAGTAGCAGCTACACTCTAACCGGAGG